TGTTTGTTTTCCTATGAGTCCATGGTATTCTCAATACTCTTCTCCAGCACCACAACTCAAAGGCATCAATTCTCCTTCGATCCTCCTTGGTCATTGTCCAACTCTCTGATGCATAACAAGTGATTGTGAAGACCGTGGCCTGTATCAGGAGAGGATAAAATTGATGAATGGAACCTTCTAAGAATCAAATGCCTATGGACATCTCCAAACTTCTCCAACAGGGTAAAAAGGAAGCTACAGACTGGGAAAAAATTTTTGGTAATGATATGTCTGATTAAGGGACTTGATAACCACAAGAAGATAATGGTAAACAACTCAATTGCAAAATGGTCACAGGATATGAACAGACACTTCACCAAAGAAGACATTGAGATGGCCAACATGCACATGAAGCTCAAAATCCCTAGCTCTAACAGAGATGCAAATCAAAACAACTATGAGATATCATCTCATCCCAGTAAGAATAGCAAAATTCAACAGGTCGGCAAATAGCAAATGCTGGTGAGGTTGTAGAGAAACTGGAACCCTTATTCACTGTTGGTGGGAGTGTAAAATGGTGCTACCACTATGGAAGGATTATGGAGCTTTCTCAAAAAGTTGCAAATAGAAATACTATTTGACCCAGCAATTCCACTACTGGGAATATACCTTAAAGAAGCTAGAACTGCTATCCAAGCAGATATATGCATACCCATGTTTATTAATGCTTTGTTCACAATAGCAAAGAGTTGGAAAAAATCCAAGTGCCCATCAAGAAATGGATAGGGAAGATGTGGTATATTCATACATTGGGATTTTATGCTGTCTTTAAAAAACAAGGGACTCATGAGATATTATACAAAATGGATGACTCTAGAGGACATTTTGCTTAGTGAATTATCTCAATCACAAAAGGACAAATACTGCATAGTGTCACTGTTGTAAAATGGGGCCGGCATAGGGGTTGGGGACCTTAAGAAAAGAGGGGATAAATAATGTATAATGCATTGAAACAGATGAGGGAGAGGACTGTTTGAAAGAAATATATGATTGGGTATTATTTTCATGACAAGAGCCCAGAATAAGAGCTGCATAGTAAAGTGGATTTGTGTGTGTGTGGAGGGGGGGATTGTATAATAATGAAATAATTTTTTTTTCTCTGTAGTGAGAAAACTGAGAGGAGAGGTCGGAAGAGAGGAAAGTGTATAACAACATATGAGTGGAAATCCAAAGTCTCTGTAAACTTTCATTATAATTTTAAAAGAGAAATGGAAAAAATTTGACATTGTAAGGAATTGAGTGAGTGATGAAATGCAAAAAAAATGTATTTATGTCAATAGATGTACATTGATACAATTTTTAAACTTAGAGTGATAGTTTCTAGTAACATAAAATGAAGGTATGTGACCTCCAATGAAATAAAAATGAGTTATCAAAATAAAAAGAGAAAAAATCTAATACTGAAAAACAGTGAGCAGTAAACTTTCATGATTTTGAGTGTTGAATATTGTGCTGCATTTAAAGTCTTTTTTTGTTGGAATTTGCAGGTCAGGATGGTCAATTTATCTGAGGCATGTATTCCTAACAAAATAATAAAGGTTTGTATGTTATACATTTATCAAGTTGTTGTTTTTGATTGCCATTTGAGTCGAGCATGACTCATAGAGACAAATAGAGACAAGTCTTTCTACAACTATTGTCTTTTCTCAAATTTCATAGAGTTTCCAGAGGCATGTTGTTTAGGAAGTGGATGCCACTCCTGCTTCCAAATTAGGCAGTTAAAATTGGTATATGGCTTAACTGACCTGTGGTCACAGTAGTGTCTGCTTCTGCAGCTGCCCCACTCTTCTTGTCTTGTTCCAGATCAGCCAACTTATTCTGATAACCAAGCAGTGCATTTGCCTCCAGACCAGTCTGGTTACAGTGTGGTTTCTTGGATATGTCTACATGGTGAGTCTGAAATGAAAAAGACCAAAGTGATTGATTTTACAAGTAAACCACCAGTTCAGAGCAAATACTTCCCAGATACAACAAGGATAAAAACATCATATGGCAAGTCATTTCTGTAAGTCTAAACCAGCATTCTACATGTTAAAATGAGTTACAAATTGTATTTTTAGCAGTGTATTTTGATCATCTAAGTGTAGAATTGTTGGAAAACAAATAGATTTGTCCTGGAGAGGGTTAAACCGGGTGGCTCCTTGGAGGCAAGGATTCTGAGGCTCTGTCTAACTTATTTCGGACATGTAGTGAGGAGAGACCGGTCCTTGGAGAGGGACATCATGCTTGGGAGGTTGGAGGGACGGCGCAGGAGAGGAAGGCCCTCTATGAGGTGGATTGATTCAGTGACTGGGATAATTGGGATGGGAGTGTCAGAAACAGTGCGATTGGCTCAGGACAGAGCGGAGTTTAGGGCTGTTGTACATAAGGTCGCTATGAGTCGCAGGCGACTCGACGGCACATAACAACAACAACAAGTGTAGAATATTTGAGGCAACAGGAGTAACTGAAATAAGGAGCCATCTCATGCACAGAAAGCCACCTTAAAAGTCTATGTATCTTACTTTATTCCTATGAACTTTACAACATATTTTTCATTTAGAATATTTTTATTAACTTTTAATATTTCTAGAAATAATCCAGCTTGTCATTATACATTACATACACAAATGTCCACAATAGTGAATTCCACTTATATATTACTTGTACACTTTATACAAGATAGATTATAACCTCTTCTTCAAAATAACTCATATTTTCAATCAGCATTATGAAAACTTTACAATGCTTCTTTAATCTATTTAAGAATAATAATTCATTATAGCAATTAATTTTTAAGGCATAACATCAAAGGCTCTTAAAATTTGTCTCACATATCAGAGATGTCATAGTGTTTGATTTATAATGACATATTGTATGCTTCAAAAGAGTCATCAGATAGAAGCAATAAATTAAGTCAGAAATTGAACTTTCAGCACTTTGCTTTATACTCAGACTCAGAGAAGAATGTTATCAGTTTGAATATAACTAAAAATATTCAAAGATTTAGTTAGTCCATCAGTTTTAGGCCTCCACATGCACCATTCTGGTTCACTTAAAGATAGAATAAAAATGGTATATATAAACTTGGTAAACAAATCAATACAAAATAAAAAGTAAAAAAAATAGAGTAATAAAAAAGCTTCTTCCATGAATCCCCCTATAGACTATGTGTACTATTGTTCTTGTTTTATGTACGATCAAGTTGCAACTGACTCATAGTGCACCCTCTGGCAAATTTTCATAGGCAATAAATCACATGGGAGGAGATTACCCGTCTTTCTCTCATGGAGCAGCTTGTGGATTCAAACTGCATGACTATAGGTTGGTAGTGTAGCTCCTTACCAATTATTAAAAGTTTTATAAAATTAAAGGCCTTTAAAGCCAAGAAAGAACCAATAAGGAAATTAGAGGGTTTTTATGATAAAATAATTTAGTCAGGTTAACAAAATGAACCGTTATGAGCCTCAGAGAGGTGGCTCTCAACTCTCTTTACCTCTCTCTATAATGAATTTATTCTTCTTTTCATTCAAGAAGGTGAACTGAAATCTTAATAGGCCTAATTCTCTCCTCATCTCTGACTTTTTAAACTTATTTATGTGGCTTCCTTGGATGAACACCATCCCTAACCTCTAGTCACAATTTATAATCATAAAGAAACTGGCATATATAGTTTTCCTTTTCAGTTTGAGAACAGATTTCATCCTAAATGACTTCCCTAACGAGACAGATATACCTTTCAAAAATGCCATCTGAGCTTCCTTATTAGAAACTTTTCACTCCTTTGGCTTTTCAGAGTCATTATCAAGGACTGAAAATGCCTTCCCAAGTAGCTTTACTGATTCTTGCACCTAAAAGACATATGGGCAAATCAAACCTAGGTTAAATCAAAGCTAGGTTAGCTAATCCCATCTCAACTGGGCTAAACCCAGCAGTCTTACAAGCAAAATAAACATGGTTTTAGTGGTACACCATGAAGTTTTTCTGATTGTCATGTTATCATTGCTCTTGCAGTAAATAATATATACAATGAAAACTACAGTATTCTTGACACTAGGTTTGGTGTCTGCATATAAATAGTCTCAGATTCTAATTACTCAAATATAATTTATTAAATTGTTTAAAGATAAAATACAACTAATATGCAAATAATATCCAAATTATTTTTATAATGGGAAAGGATGATGGTGATATTAATAGAAACAATTGCAAAAATATCAGAATTAAGAGGCTGTTGTTGTTTTTCTTAGAACATGTTGAGTCAACGGCAATTCATTGAAGAACAGATCTCAAATCTGTCCTGTCCTGTACCATCCCCACAGCCTCAGGTACACTTAAGCCCATTGCTGAAGTAATTATGTTAATCTACCTGGTTGAAAGTCTTTCTCTCCTTCACTGTATCTTCACTTTTTCAAGCATTCTGTCTCTTTCCTTGGAATAGCCTTTCCTAGCAATATACCCAGAGTGTGTGAGACAAAGCTTTATCATCTTTTCCTCCAAGAAGATTTCTGGAAGCACCTTCTCCAAGACATATCTGTTTGTTCTTTTGGCAGTCCATGAGATAATTCAGTACTCTTATCCAACACCACAGTTCAAAGGTATCAATTCTTCTGTCATCATTATTCACTGTCTGGCTCTCAGATGCATACCAAGTGATTGAAAAGACCATGGCCTGAATCAGGTGCATCTTAGTCCTCAAACTGACATCACTGCTCCTCAATAATTTGGAGAGGGCCCTGACTACAGACTTTACCAACGTACTATGTCTCCTGATCTCCTGACTGCTGGGATCCAGGGTATTCATTGTGGATCCAAGTAAGATGAAGCCAGTGACAGTTTCAATTCTTTCTCCATCTATCATGATGTTGTCTATTGGCCCAGTGGTGAGGATTTTTGTTTTTTTGACATTGTGATTCAATCCATACTGAAGGCTGCAGTGTTTAAACTTCTACAGCAAGTACTTCAAGTCTTCCTCACTTTCAGTAAGCAAGGTTGTGTTATCTGCAACAGTATATAGACCGAGAAGCAGTCATTTGAGCAGATAAGGGTATATCTATAGCCAACAAAGGTATGCATCAAACTTTCATCCTCTGTGTATTTGTCAGTCTGTATGTTGAGCTAGTAATCTGAGAAACTGGACTTTGTGAAGAAGAACATGACAGTAGAATTGGAGGAAGTCTCCTTAGTAATCTGTGACACCTAGATGACAATCTGTCTTGCTTGCTGAGAGTATAGAAGGCTTGAAGAACTTGTTGATGAAAAGCAGAAAAAAATAGATTTCAATATTGATTATACCTCAACATGAACGTGTCTCAAAACTGAACCACTAAGTAGTATCATGATCAGTGGAGAAAATAATGAGATTGTCAAGAATTTATTTTTACAAAAACTACCATTAATGTCTATAAACATGGCAATCGAAAAACCAAGTAACAGATCGTTGGATAATTCTGCTGCAAAAGACTTCTTTAAAATGTTGCAACAAGATGTCACTTTGAGGTTTAAGATTCATCTAGCCCAAACCACAGTATTTTCAACCAGGTCATGCGCCAACAGTTGAAGATTGAAGAAGAATTGATACCTATGAGCTGTGGTATTAGAAAAGAATATCAAATATATTGTGAACCATCATAAGAACAAACACATTGTCTTAGAGGAAACACAGCTATAAAGTTCCTTAGAAGTAGGCATGGTGAGACACAGTCACACATATTTTGTATGTTATCAGGAGGTAACAGTCCCTAGTGAAAAAGAAGCAGATGTCCAATGGGACAGACTGACATAGTGACAGCAACCATGTGCTCAAACATAGCAAAAGTTGTGAGGATAACACACGATTGGTTTGTGTTTCATTCTGTAGTTTATAGAATCAGTTCTAGGATTCAAGTTAGAGGTTCCTAATTGCAAACTTTTCCAGTGCAATACATCTCCTGATTTTCTGACTGTTTCTACCAAGGGTGTTAATTGTAGATTCAAGTAAGATGAAGTTGTCGATAGTTTGAACCTCTTCTCTATCCATCCTTATGTTGTCTATTGATCCAGAGGAAACAATCTTTGTTTTCTTGATGCCACAATGCAATCCATACTGAGGGCTGCATTCCTTGATCCTCTGCAACAAGTGCTTCAAGACTTTCTCACTTTCAGCAAGCAAAGTTGTGTCATGCTGTATTCTAAACCTAGCTTGAACTTCTGGCAGTTCTTTGTCAATATACTGTCTAGCTGTTGTTGGATGATTTACAGTGATATTTTCTTTGCATATAGTAGTGATGATATTGTTTGATAATTTCCACATTTGGGTTGGATCACCGTTTTGAGAAAGGGGACAAATAAGCATCTCTTCCAGTCGGTTAGCCAGACAGTTGTCTTCCAATTTCTTGAGATATACTGTTGAGCATGTCCAAGATAATATCTGTTAGTTGGAACATGTCAGTTGGTATCTCATTAATCCTTGAGGCCTTATTTTTTATCATTGCCTTAATTGCAGCTTGAATTTCTTACTTCACCACCATTGGCTCTTGATTATATGGTTAATTCTGGAATTATTTCCCCTTTAACCAATTCTTTTTGGTACAGTGACTCCGTATATTCCTTCCATCTTCTTTTAATTCTTCTTGGATCATTTAAGATTTTGCCCTTAGCTATAATATCTCTCAGTATTGCAACTTGAAGCATGAATTTGTTATTCAGTCCTCTCAGCTTGAGGAAAGAGAGGTCTTTATTCTTTAATCCCAGCTCTCTTCCCAATTTATTATTTTTTGTCTTCTCTAGCTGTCTTTTGAAATCTGCAGTTCAGCTCATTTACTTCAGCAACCCTTTTCTTTGTTTAGTGTACTTCTCAGAGTTTCTTCTGACATCCATTTTGGTTTTTTTTCTTTCTCCTCTTTGTTTTTAACGAGGTTTTGCTCTCCTCATCGATG